GAACGTTTTTGATACTAGATTAACTTCTAAAGTATTTTTTTTTTGTTTTTATATTTTCAATATATTTATTTTGTTTGTAAAAACTAAAGAAATAATTTTTAATGATACAATAGCCACGATTATTGTTTTAAAAAGTTTACATTAGGCTTAACATCGACGAAAATTCAACGCAAAGCGACACGCAACGGAGAAAAATTTCAACATGGGGTAGGTTAATATATTTTTTTGTACATAATTAGTTATCCGAAAAATAAGTTATCTGAACAACCCCAGTCCCCAATTGATTCGGATAAACGACGCTCTACTGTAGTAGATCAACTATTCAAATACTTAAAACTTTCACTACTGTCATTGAGATATTTTTTTTAATTATCATAGTTTTGATTTCTGATTCAAAATAATAGCAGTTCTGTGTAGTTGGAGTCAGAAGTTGATGCATTTTTAGCAACCTCAATCTTGATAAATACTTAAACTTAAAACATAAACAAATAGCCTGATAATTTGTGGGTAGTGATGAATTACTTAAGGTATCTTTCACCATTTTAGTAGGTTATCATTGAAGGAGTCAGAGATTTACAAATTGTGGAACTGGAGTCGGAGTCAGCAGTTTTGTGTAATACTTCATACTATTAACCAGGAGTTAATAGTATGAAATATTCCGGAATTTACGATTAAATGTTTCCTAGGAATGATCATGCATTTGTAATATCAGATTGGTCTCGACATCTAAATTAGATTTCAGATGGTATCATTACTTAACTGTTTCTGTTTCTCATTATGGGAGCACCTCAGATTTTTTAGGTTATAACAGGTTTTTTTACTCATATATTAAAAACTTCTTTATTTTGTTGTCAGTTCAATCTGACGCACAGAATACGACATCTGTCCTTCGGTAAAAATATTCCTGGCAAGACCGATCCTCTGGATGGAACTTCACAGACTGATGAAGAAGGTGAGTGTTTTTTGTTATAGCTTTTCAGTTATAACCTACGTTCATTTACGATGTTATTTGGCTAGAACATGAGCTTTATGAATATTCCAATGTTACCGCTGGCTGCAAAAACAGCCACAACATTTAGCTAACGGCCACATAATTTTTTTCATTAACTTGAGCGAGTTAAGTGGATTTATATACGTATAACATAAGAAAATTCTTAAAGTGCTTCACACATGCCAGGATTGTCACATCGTTACCTTTATCTAAGCATAAAGTATAGAAACTTTATTTATTGATTTAGTTATGTCTTTGCCCATTCTATAATTTTTTGTTGAATTGAACCATTACCGAGAACTACATTTTAAAATATATTGTATTCAGGCTCTACACCTGTAACGATCTATTCCAAAATCCACTTTCAATATTTGCAAAATTTTCCTGTTAAAAAACTTACTTTCAAAGATCATAAACTTTCAGAAATTTTCAACTAGATTTGGATATTAGGGGATCAATGCTATTAAATTTTGGTGACTAAAGGTTGAGAGGATAGGGAAATAGAGGGGATCATGTATCGTATCTCGAATGGGATCGGACTTAATGAAGATTTTATGTCCTATTAGCATTTGCAATTTTTATAAAACTCATCTCGACTCTCAAAATTAAGCTTTTTGCCATTTTATAATAATTAATAATAAAGTAAGAAGTATTTAAATAAAATCTTGTAACAGATCGCACCATATGCAATTTTAACTTTGTTGCTGGAAATTTTTTTATGTCGAAATTTAGTGAAGTTTTTGATGTGTCTTGTGGCCACACTCGAGAACCAGAGTTATTAAAAAGTTGTTATGAAGAGAATCGGCACAGGTATTTTCATTCTCTTATCTTCAATTGTTTGATGTCAGTCTTTTTTGCTCCTTTACAATATTTTCACTAAATTATAACTTTGAAAAATACGTGCGCGGGGTCAATTGAATGAAAATTTAGTCGCATGAAAAAAATTCAAGCACCTTCTTTTTTCTATGAAAATTTCTTTTTGTTTCAGTTAAAATTAAATACATAAATTAAATATTAAAATAGAGCATTTCTAGCTTTTATTTGGGAAAATTATAATCGCGGGTGTCTGAGATCGATCTTTTGTATATCCATTTTATTTTCTTCGGCAGGCAATCTTTGCTTCCATAGTCTCTTCATAATTTTTTTTTTTTTTGTGAAAATTAAAAAAACATAGCCCAAAACTCCCATTAAAATTTTCCAAAATTGCCAAAAGTATTAAAATAAGATTTAAATGATGATGATATTGCATGCTAATAGCTTTAATTCAGGAATTCAATAGTTTTTTGAGTTGTAAGTTAGTGAAAAATATTGTAAATGAATGAAGAAGACCAACGTTAAACAATCAAAAAGAGAACAAACATCTATATTGACAAATACTTCAAATACCATAAGCATTTATTTATTCTCCAATAATTGGGGATTGACAAAAATTCAAATTTTAAATCAATTTTTGCTTAATCGGATATGCAGTGGGGACGGCCAGGTGGTGAGAGATGGTTCCTGATATATCCGGAATGAATAGTCTGAAAATTTCCAAGGTTTTTTTACTGAAACTTGAACCCTGTCTCTCGGAGTTATGGGCCTGTGCCTTTATTGCCTCGCTGTCCATCTGGTTAAAGGGTTATGTCCGGACTACAGATACTTATTGCCTTTGTGATTATGACAGTTATTTTAAATGGTTGCAAAATGAAAAAACTGGTAGTTGAAAGTATTTATTTAAAACTTCTTTAATGCAACAGAACATAAATAATAAAACATGATTGGATGTCCAAGATGGTTAAGGTTTCAATTGACCGCTCTCTGGGACCCAGGATCAAATCCAAGTGAGTGATCACAGGCGATCTGTTCCGCCTCGTTCCAACTGCCCACATTGTGGACTTGGCCTATGTATGATTAAAAATGACCCTCTTACTGGCCACAAGACAATATTTTTCATTTCTTGACTCTTTTCTAAAATACAATGAAGACATCATTTTTCTGCATCTTTTCTTGTCCGGTGTTTAAGTGAATTCACCAACTTCTGATGCCTTGATCCAACTTTATACATGTGAATGTTAAAAAACACAAGGGTCAATTGATAAATAAGATCCTTACCTCAGCATTCTAGGATAGAAACACGTGACTAGTCCATATAGGGAAAATCTCAGTTCGTTGTGTTGCATTGTTCATAAAGCGTAGTTCACACAGACATTTACTAGTGAGAGCGAAGTGTGAAAAGTGATTTTTTTTCCACTTTTTACAAGAACAACGTAAAGTGTAGCCAATCAGTTGCTAACAATGGACATGTCATTCCAACAAGGTGGCCGATAACAGTGAGTTGGTAATAATTATATCGTTTCACATGTATTAAATAGAAAGGAAAAGACAAAAAGAGTATTGCATATTTCAGTTTCAGTCAAAAATTGTTGCACATCTCAGGTTGCATCTTTATTGCATCATCTTGAATTTTCCCACTCCCTATGTCAACAAATTTACCATTCTGATTGGTGGGAATGTTTTCCACTAGTTGCGTGCGAGGAGAGAAACAGTGAATTATATAAAGTATTGCGAAATTGAGAGAGTAAGGTCAGAAAGAGCCATCTTTTTCTTGTGCCACGATTACAAGATTGCACTGCAGTAAGAAAACAAAGAACACACTCGAGAATCCGAAGTTACAGATTATTCTGCACATTCATTACAGCTTAGAAATGGCACCATCAGACTTGATCCAAATTTTAAGGGAAATGTCAAAAGGTCAAAACTTTACCAGCTGCTAGCGGGAAAGGAGCCAGGTAACACCAGAAAGTTTTCGTGTGGTGTGGGGAGAAATGTTACTCTGGATAACGGTAAGATTGAAAAATGGATAAGATATAAAAATGAAGACCTTATCAGTCACTCCTGGTATATGAGATCCTTGCTCTTAACCACTGGTATAAATTCCTGAAATCCTGAATGTTTATTTGCCATTCCGGTATGATAATGTGTCATTTGAATCGAGAACACGCAAACGTAACACGAAAATATTAGACCAATAAAAGAAAAATAATGTGTCTCGTGCCGAAAAGGGTGGAGGAGAGAATCCCACGAAAATTATATCGAAATGTTATTGGCAAAGTCGGAATAAAGAAATACAGGAATCATGTTGACGTCGATAATTATCAGAGAAGAGGGGTCAATCCAATTGGGGCATATTGCCGAGAATCGATTGATTTTTACGAACTCTCTCATCGGTTCGCATATTTAGTCGCTTGCCAACTGAAATGTACTCAGTTTCATGCAAAAAAAATTAATTTCCTTCAATATCCGCCATTTTTTTAATGCTTATCAAATTATAGTGAATTCGTTGACTATTGTGGAGGGAGATTTTCTTTTTGTCTAAATATCGGCTTGCGTTAAAATATAGTTACAAACCACATTTTTACGAAGCCAATTTTCTCTAAGGTTATCGAAATCTAATTGGTCGATTTGTATTCGAATTGCGAGGATGTCAAATACAAGAAGCACTAACCATGCTGCGCAGTTTATTTGTAACGCGATATTCTATTCGTCCGTATATACTTAAAATGTTCGCGAAGTTACACGATGTTACGTTAAACGTACGGAACATCGTCATTATATGGGTGCGCTATCCACAAATTTTTATTCGAATAGTCTCGCGCAACGGTAGCGTGTAATGCAACGTGGCAGCTTCTGGAGAGAAGGCATTTGTGTTAAAGATCGTGTCTACGTGCCGCCATTACCAACCACTTCGAGTGAACCACGGATCACATTAATAACGTGAAGAAAACCGGGAAAACTCTTCGTGGCCAGGCGCCAACCCGCGACCAACTACCAGTGTTCGGTGGACCCTTTATTGTCAGTATTAGTTTGCAGTAAACAGAATAATTTTTTGAATAACTCCGTAGAAAAGAATTCATAAAAAAGAATTTTTAAGGAGTGCCATATTCGAATTTGTCGCTCAACGAACTGGAGAGAAATTACTCTCTAATTTTAAGAATCACGAGAGAAAATTAAGAAGTGTCGATAAATGAAACTATAGAATATTTTCTTAAGCAAGAAATCTGTCACTTTGTCGCTTTTTTGTGCGCTTGTTGCAACGATCGTTTCCATTATTACCGGAGCAATTAAAGAGATGTTTACATAAATAGTAATACTCTATTTTTATAAATACTTGGCGTGACACGACGCTCCACGCCAGTGACTTTTACTTAAAAATGGAAACTATTATTATATATTATTTGTTTTTTTTTTTTTTAAATTTCCCTGGCTTTATAAAAGTGCAAATCGAGCATTGTGTCCCATTTTGTTAATAACAATCCACAAAACAGCGTATTCTCGATATAGTGAATAGTTTAGCTTAGACTTTGCCAATTGTACCCAATAACTGGACAACAGAAAATCCATTTTAATTTAAATATTTTCTGATATTTTCCAAGTATAGTGGACCCCCGCTTTTAACGATTTGAATGTATACTTTATATCGATGGTTCGAATCATTCTGGGAACATACCGTAATTGGAAATTTAAGTATTTATTGTAGGAATGCGGCCGAAAGATTTATGTAGCCATAAAAAATTAAATTCTTTTGAAGATCGGCGGCGGCGAGTGCCAGAAGAGTGTTTGTGCGAAACGGCGACGTGCCGTAGAGTCGGGATACGTAGACATTAAATGAATGATTATTGTTGGAAGAGCGCCATCTGGAAGTAGTTATTATTACGCTGGGACGTAATTATCGTTCTCGACGTCGGAGGCGCTACGATCGGCGAACTTTTAAGTAACTAATCGGGAAAGTCCGCATTTTTACGATTCTTAGAATTTCAAAACAAAATAATAATAATAATGGCGACACTGACCGTTACCGGATCTTTTTTTTTTTTTTTTAAACTAGTTATTAGAGGGCACCACTCGGACGAGGAGACGTTAGCGGAATACGTAAAGACCGCGCCGTCGGAATGTATACGTACGATAATCGCTGCCAATTTATTTGGCGAGAAGGGGGGAACGTATGACGTAGATTGTGACGTAGTTTAACTGCGTCGACGGTGAACGGAGAGAGGCGCGACCAAAAAAACCCACTCGTTTTTTTTACGTTACAAATGTTTTTATTGGACATTTTGGTACAAGTGGGGCGTCCCGTTTCCGCCGGAAACGGTGGCCATAACGTTTTTTTTCTTCTTTTTCGTAGACGCGGACACTTCGCGTCGTCTTTCGGCCGAAAACGTTTTGTTCTTCCGTTTTTTTTTTCTCTACAATTTCGCATTCGTTTAAACTTAAAAACGTCGAGGTCGGGAGGAGACCGCGCAATGGCGCGGTTCATTATAATTAAAAAAAAGGGGGCGCGCGTTCTTTCCTCGTATTCTTCTTCGTCCCGTTCGTTCTCTCCTAATTGTTTTTTTTTTGTTTGTTTATCTCAGGCGGCGTCATGTTCCAGTACTACGCCAAGATCGTGCCCATGATGTACTCTCGCTCCGACGGACAGGTGAGTGGAGGCGGCTCGACTCTCCCGTTCGCCGACCGTTTTCGTTCATTTGTCTTTTCGTTTCAGACGCTGCACACCAACAGGTTCGCCGTCACCCGCCATCGGAAGAGGGCCGCTTCGGCGGGCGGAGATCAGAGTCTGCCGGGCGTCTTCGTCGTCTACGAGTTCTCGCCCATGATGGTCAAATATTCGGAGAAGCGCAAGTGAGTGGGCGGGCCCGACGCGGGGGTGGAGCCCGCCCCGCCCCTCACCTCCTCCTCTCTTTCTCTTTCAGGTCCTTTCCGCACTTCCTGACCGGCGTCTGCGCCATCGTGGGCGGAGTCTTCACCGGTAAGCGGCGCGCCCGGCGGTTCGACGTCCGGAGTCGCCTGTGACGTAGTCCATTGTCTTTTTTTTTTCTTCTTCTTTCAGTGGCGGGGATGATCGACTCGGCCATCTACCACTCGTCGCGGGCCATCCAGAAGATCGAGTTGGGCAAGGCCAACTAGTGTAGAATCGACAATAAAGGCCGTTAACTCTCGACCCGAGTGGGTTGGAACCGCGGTCCGTCGGGCGTCGGGCGCCGGGTCGGGCGGAGCCCGGAGCCCGGGGGTCACGCGAAGAAGGAGGAGGTCTCTTCCTGCAGGGCGGGATCGGGCACCGTCTGGTCGGGCACCTTGGCGTCGTCGCCTCGGGGCGCGCCGCGCCCCGACTCGGCCGCGTGTCCGTGTCGGCGGCGGCCCGATTTGAACCAGGGGTGGTCGAGCACCTCTTCGGCCGTCAGTCTCTCGGCCGGCTCCATGCGCAGGAGGCTGCGTATCAGGCAGCGGGCGTGCGAGGAGAGGCCGTCGGGAACGCTGAAACTTCCGCGTCGCACCTTGAGCAGGACGGCGCCCGGGTCGGCGTCGTGGAAGGGGTAGCGTCCCACCAACATGGCGTAGAGCATGATGCCCAGGCTCCAGCAGTCGGCCGCTCGGCCCGAGTAGTAGCCGGAGGTGATGAGGATCTCGGGGCTGACGTAAGCGGGACAGCCGTGGCGGTCGTTGAGCCAGTCGTCGTCTTCCACCACCACCGCGTCGTCCAGCGTCTCCAGTTTCAGTTCGGTCCTGCGCGAGAGAAAAGAAAACGTCAGAATTTTTAATAAATCTTCGTGGCGAAATCGATCGCTTGGCGTGGGTGAGGCCGCAGCTCCCCTTTTATAATTACGCGGATGACGGCGGCGGCCGGATCGAAATTAAAATTCGCGGGAGGAACGACGCTTCCAACTCACCTTTCGGGATTCTTGAAGACGAACTTTCGCAATTTGAGGTCCCTGAGGACGATGCCCGCCTGGTGGCAGGCGGCCACAGCCGAGGCGATCTGCAGAAAGAGGCCCAACGCCTCGTGTTCCCTAAGACGTCGCTTCTGTCTGACGTAAGAATGCAAGTCTCCGTAGGAGGGCGGGAAGATGATGTAGGAGTTTGACTCGGCAACCAGCACCTCCTCCACTCCGTTAATCAGCGGATGGCCGTCCAAGCGGAAGTGACCGATCAGCGCCTCTCTGTTTCTCTTGTTCTTCACCACCTGGAAAAGTAGAACCCCGTTTTAATTAATAAGTACGAAAGGAAAATTAATTAATCGATCGATAAATTTACGGCGTATAATAGGCGGCTTTTCCCAAAAAAACAGGCTAAAAAAAGTAATACGGGAGATAGCAATTTCACAGGTAAGACGCGGGACGTCTTACACGTGAAGCTGACATCTCCCGTAGTCTAACGAATTTCCCAAGCCTCAGGCTACAGGTAACCTTTATCTAGCCCGACTCTCCAATAAAACTTAGCTAGCTATATTAATTTAAATTATTTGTTAAACTGCTTTACCACCGAAAAATTTTAATTTTCAACGACTTCGACCCCCCTTTGTACACTTATTTCGGGGGGAAATTCTTTTATTTCTGCACCAGAATATGGTAAAAACAATTGGGGACGGAGTGCCAAATGCGCGGGATGGCTCACTAAAATATTCTATGCCGAAATGGGGGTTTGTTTCTGGTATGCCGTAAGATACGGTAACTCTTCTACACACATACAACACAAAAAAAAAATATATATATATACTTAACAATTCAGATTTTACACCATAATCGAATCGACTGGAAAGTTGAGGTCGTCGGTGGGAGGAATTCTTAAACCGAGAAAGGAAAAAATAAAAAACAAATCCAGTTTCAGGTTCCAAAAGGACTTTCCCGCTTTTCTTTTGTTACAGAAAAGTGCGTGCGTCATTTCCGCATTTCGTAGAAAACGTTGGCTTCTACGGCGGAAGTACGGGAAAGAAAAGCGGAGCGGAGTACTCCAATATTAAATTTTCTCGACTTTTTTTTTATGGGCGGGCGGGAGAAAGAGCGGCGGATCGAGTGTTCCGGACAACTTATTTTACCACTTAAAAGCTGGGCGAACGGCCTCTAAAAGGAAACGGAAAGAAGAAAAAGAAAAATATAAATTGCGTCGAGTTTCCCCTTCCAACAGCGCCAAATGTGTAAATAAAAGGATTACAAATAAAAAAAATAAAACTATTTCGTTTAATGGATTCGAGTTGCGTCCTTGTAAAATTTAGTTCTAGTTTTCTAGAACTCGGCGCGAAACGGAATTCCCTCCGTTCGACCTAATTTCTATTAATGCGCTGAGTTTGAAATTTCGCGTCGCCCTTTCGCTTTCCGGTTAGAAATATTAAAAACGCACTCGGACAAACTAACATCATTCGCGATTGGTTCTCCGTCTCGAATCGTCGCCTTATTCGTCCACTGACAAATTCGAAAAGAAAAAAAATAAAAGAATTTAGGGCGTGCCGAAGACCGGAATGCATTCCCGAAAGGAGTTTTTTTTTTTAAACTACGTCCTATGACGTCAATTACCACGTCATAGGCTGTTATCTAGAAAAATAACGTCGGAAATTATTTTACTCATAAAATTATTACTAATTTACTTGGCAAACGTTTACGGTTTACCCATACTTTTCCTTATCGGAAAACCGGAATAACGATAGCTGGCTGCCATTTTGTTTTGCTCGCCGTCGGCAGTCTTTGCTACGTTCAGACTTTTTTTTTTTTTTTTCTTTTTTCCTGGCGAGCTGCCCGGTTTAGAAACGCACCCTTACGTAACACGCGGGATTAGAACCGGACCGAACCAGATATCCGTCTCGCCGCCGCGTTAAAACGGAAGAGACTTTGATACGACTTTGTCATCCGCCCAACTGCCAGATTTTGGTCTCTATACCCTAGTTCGAACCCCCCTTAACCTTCTACAAACGGGGTTCCTCAGATTTAACCCGCACAAACGTTAATTCCCCATTAAAAAAGGGGGGAATTTACGCCGGTAGATCGTTATAAATTTCGTCGGCCCTCTGGCGTTTTTTTTTTTTACGAATGCGGGCGGGTGACGAATCGAAATACGTCACAAACGTCGACACTGGACAACAGTTTCATTCATTTGTTGCGGCTTAACTCGTTTGTATTACGTCACCGCATATGTCTGAATCGTTGTGGAAAAATTATATATATATATATATTTGTAATTAATAATATAGCGGGCCGTTCACGCATTAACTAATTTACGTCTTAAATTTTAACGCTAACTGGAACCAGCAGTTGGTTTTACAAAACTAAAAAAATGTGAGACGTGCGTAATTCTCGATATTACGTTTTAATTTTGCACGCGATTAAGGAAATTACAGTACGGGGAAACCGTATTAGGATTTCGACATTAAACAATACTCTTTTTCGGCTCGAAGTACTAAAAAAAAAAAGCATTCGGAAGCGGGACCTGCGCGAGAGAAAAGAAAACGTCAGAATTTTTAATAAATCTTCGTGGCGAAATCGATCGCTTGGCGTGGGTGAGGCCGCAGCTCCCCTTTTATTTATTAAATTTAACAAGAGATGGTGGCCTAACCACACAAAGTAATTTGGCAGGAGCCTTAGCCTTTAATAGACAAATATAGGAATCTGGCTGTTCATTGCAATATTGAATTTCAGAAAGACACTTTTGATAGTTTAGTCTACACACAAAAAAAAAAATATATATATACTTAACAATTCAGATTTTACACCATAATCGAATCGACTGGAAAGTTGAGGTCGTCGGTGGGAGGAATTCTTAAACCGAGAAAGGAAAAAATAAAAAACAAATCCAGTTTCAGGTTCCAAAAGGACTTTCCCGCTTTTCTTTTGTTACAGAAAAGTGCGTGCGTCATTTCCGCATTTCGTAGAAAACGTTGGCTTCTACGGCGGAAGTACGGGAAAGAAAAGCGGAGCGGAGTACTCCAATATTAAATTTTCTCGACTTTTTTTTTATGGGCGGGCGGGAGAAAGAGCGGCGGATCGAGTGTTCCGGACAACTTATTTTACCACTTAAAAGCTGGGCGAACGGCCTCTAAAAGGAAACGGAAAGAAGAAAAAGAAAAATATAAATTGCGTCGAGTTTCCCCTTCCAACAGCGCCAAATGTGTAAATAAAAGGATTACAAATAAAAAAAATAAAACTATTTCGTTTAATGGATTCGAGTTGCGTCCTTGTAAAATTTAGTTCTAGTTTTCTAGAACTCGGCGCGAAACGGAATTCCCTCCGTTCGACCTAATTTCTATTAATGCGCTGAGTTTGAAATTTCGCGTCGCCCTTTCGCTTTCCGGTTAGAAATATTAAAAACGCACTCGGACAAACTAACATCATTCGCGATTGGTTCTCCGTCTCGAATCGTCGCCTTATTCGTCCACTGACAAATTCGAAAAGAAAAAAAATAAAAGAACTTAGGGCGTGCCGAAGACCGGAATGCATTCCCGAAAGGAGTTTTTTTTTTTAAACTACGTCCTATGACGTCAATTACCACGTCATAGGCTGTTATCTAGAAAAATAACGTCGGAAATTATTTTACTCATAAAATTATTACTAATTTACTTGGCAAACGTTTACGGTTTACCCATACTTTTCCTTATCGGAAAACCGGAATAACGATAGCTGGCTGCCATTTTGTTTTGCTCGCCGTCGGCAGTCTTTGCTACGTTCAGACTATTTTTTTTTTTTTTTTTCTTTTTTCCTGGCGAGCTGCCCGGTTTAGAAACGCACCCTTACGTAACACGCGGGATTAGAACCGGACCGAACCAGATATCCGTCTCGCCGCCGCGTTAAAACGGAAGAGACTTTGATACGACTTTGTCATCCGCCCAACTGCCAGATTTTGGTCTCTATACCCTAGTTCGAACCCCCCTTAACCTTCTACAAACGGGGTTCCTCAGATTTAACCCGCACAAACGTTAATTCCCCATTAAAAAAGGGGGGAATTTACGCCGGTAGATCGTTATAAATTTCGTCGGCCCTCTGGCGTTTTTTTTTTTTACGAATGCGGGCGGGTGACGAATCGAAATACGTCACAAACGTCGACACTGGACAACAGTTTCATTCATTTGTTGCGGCTTAACTCGTTTGTATTACGTCACCGCATATGTCTGAATCGTTGTGGAAAAATTATATATATATATATTGTAATTAATAATATAGCGGGCCGTTCACGCATTAACTAATTTACGTCTTAAATTTTAACGCTAACTAGGACCAGCAGTTGGTTTTTACAAAACTAAAAAAATGTCAGACGTGCGTAATTCTCGATATTACGTTTTAATTTTGCACGCGATTAAGAAATTACAGTACGGGGGAACCGTATTAGGATTTCGACATTAAACAATACTCTTTTTCGGCTCGAAGTACTAAAAAAAAAAAAAGCATTCGGAAGCGTGAATTGGAATTCCGAAAGTGTGTGGAAAAGCATTAATCTTAAGTTACGACCGTCCAAAAACAGAACAGATAACGCGAATAAAAGTCGAGCGGTACTCCCTCGATTATTTAAAACTGTTCGTATGATTTAAATATAACCGTAATTTTACCAATTTTTCGTTTTTTTGGGGGGGAGGCAAGTAAATTATTCGCGTTTCTCGCATAATCTGGGTCGATATTACTAGAGCCTACGAGAGCGAAATTTATTAATGCAGGGGACCATTTGGTAACAGACGTTTCGCTCCTATCCATATTTATGCTTACGAATAAGATAAATTTTTATAATTCATTCCATGAATTTTTTTTTCAATTATCGGATGAAATAATAATCTTGTCTTGGCTTAAAGATATTCGAATAATTAAATATGGAGATGAAGAGTATAATGGCGAATAAATCGCATTAACGGAAAGACGAAAGTTAAGCTCTCGAAAATAACGTAAGAGAAAAATATATGTATACGCAAAAGCAAAAAACAAACCGTAACAATTATCGATCTTTGCAACGTTTTCTTTTTGAAACGGACTGTAAAAAATGATCACCGTTCGTTCATCCCGGATCCCATTATGGCGCATCATGGAGCGACGATGGCCATTCGTTTCCTTTATCGGCAACGGAATAAACAGCGTGTTTGATGGACTCCCGAGTATATTTTTACACGCGTTTACATAAAATTGGAGTTACAAATATTGACAGCATTACACTACTTAAAACAAAGACAAGTGTTTTTCGCCGATTATGTTAGCATAGTAAGTGACCTACGCCGTA